ATGAACGTTCCGAAGATGATTGTTTCTAGGACAACAATCGACTTCCAATGTTGACATAAACATTGGACGTATACAGTCCCTTATGCGTTTCAACAGCCCGTTCACTCTCCGGATAATCCATGACTAACTGAATTCGGTAACATTGTCTGACCACCAGAACCTGACTTGTTATTACCCGTTGGCATTCTATGAACAATATGAAACGGAGACAGGGCAAGCACACCGCCACAAATGATGAGTATGTGTACGTTGGTTGAGACTGAAGAACTCCTAATAAGGGTTATCATGTATCCGGCAAATAATTTATCAGAATAGGGTTGTTGAGATTGTTGAGTTTGGAATGATATCATGAATGAATCAGGTTCTCAATGGTGGTTCGCACTGACTTACTGGATAAGGTCATTTCTGAATCAAAATGAGAATTCCACAGTATAATTACTATTGTTACTATTAAAACGTGGACAAGATTTTCAGATTGTTTTAGTTTTTCGTCTGGAAATTCTGTGATCAGAGTGAGTGAAGTCGACCTAACAGATAAGTAACTTGTTGTGAAAACTCATATTATGAGAGAAAGCCATTATTTGCTCGTCAATAAATGCTCATTGTTTTTGACGTACATACAATTGAGCCTCCATTTTATGAAGAAATTATGACTGTGTTGTGAATATTTTCATTGTTACTTGAAACAATACACATACAGATACATAAGATCTGTAAGACAGCAATTGTTAGAACATAGATTGAAAAGTTTCCAATGGTCTTTGTTTTACCAATCTATCTCAATATATTTTACATTCAGTTCTAATCACTGAAACACTGATTCAAGGTTAATCATCTTCGAAAATTGATGAGCCAACAGTTTCATCGATTAGACTTTCCACAGACGCAATTCTCATAGTGAGACAGTATTTCAATCATTATTAGAAAAAAATTAGTCATAAATGCTGACAAATTTGTCTAGGAAATATTGTATTCGGAATGTTGCAACCCTAAACTTTGAATCTAGTTTCAAATCAAGTTAAACAAATTCTTTCATTTCTCAAATAGATCTAGAGTGATCAAACGATAAATGCAAAATTTCCTCACTGGTTCAATCAATGTTATGTAAATCGGTAAATTCTATTCAAGTCATTTTTCCATAGCTTTTTATTCCGAAAATAAAACCATCATCATATGCTACACTATTGCTTTTCATTCAACATTTATTCTTCACTTTCATGTACATTTCTCACATTACCAGCCGGACAAAGTGCATATTAGCGAATCTTGTGCTCAGTCTTTATCACCTTATCCATATGAATTAGAATGTCGAGGAGAAATTCCAATCAAGGTATTTTATGCTGCGAATTTGCTTATCATTAATCTATATTCTGATTGAAGTAATTATATATGTACATATTTTTTAAAAAAAAGAGCGTTATCTTACAAGTGTTGGGTTGTGAGTCGATCATGAATTCACATTCGATTATGGTTGACTGAAATCAGATTTTTCGTGGATCTATGTCGCAACAAGGTGGTTGATACCGATTCAGATACGACAAACTATTGTATAGCTTGAGACTAACCGATTCATGAAGTCAATTATTTAGGTGAGATTTATCAGTATGTTCAAGACAACTCTATTAAAGGATTCATTAATTAAGAGATCTCTTAGTGTAGACAATTGGTTAATTTACAAAAGTTTACTTAGCGTAACTGGAACAGATGTCTCATTTACTCATCCTTCTGAAGTTCCATAAATATAGGAGTGGATTATGCTATCGGATAAGAAGTTGAAGCTCTCTGAGCGATCCTATTGATGAACAGTGACCCATCAAGATTCACCTACTACTGCATAAATGACACGAACTTCATATAACCCCACTAGACCTACCAATAAACTATGAATTCAGGTCTGATGAAACAACAGATATCTGTTTACGGCTTCTGACATAACTGAGCAAAGTATTCAGTGTTCTAATCTATAAATCAACAGATAACTACAACGATAAACTCAGGGTTTATTTGATAAACATGTTTAAGAGTCTAGTGAGAAAGGTAACGATAAATATGATGAATCATTTATTATGCTTGTTATTCAACAACTTCTAAGTTCAAGATAGACGAGGTTTATTCTGAGTCTTTTCACTTTTTAAAATTGAAATAAATTTTTCTAGCAAGTTCACTTATAACATCTATTCACTGTAATCCGAAAATTTATCAACTCATTTCTGAGCTGTTCTTCGTAGCATGACTCACAAATACATCTACTTGTAAAGTATTATGAAGTGTTTATATTTCGAACTATGTATTTATGAGCGTTCATTTGTGAGAATATTTTCATCAGAGATCTTCTATTCTCTGATATTGTTTCGGACCTCATATGACTAAGAGTGATTCATATTTTGGATCATGGTAAACGGAGTAATCGAAAATAATTGTTCCCTCCCGGTTGCGACTAGTTGCAACGTACCTGAATCCTTCTTGATGTCATGCCGAAACTCAAACCCAACTCCTAATACTTTGAACACAGGTTTCTAAACCGTACAGCAACTGAGTCATGATAGTCACTAGGTTTTTCAGAAATAAGACATTTACTAACTGTATATTCATTCGAGGAGTTTGTAAGTCAACAGAAAATGAAAATACAAACAATTACAATTGTGAATAACAGTTTTGAATAAAAATTTAAAATTATTTCTGAATGTGGAATTTTATAACACACCATAAGTACTATTCGCCTAATTTCCTTGGTTCAACACTCAAGGGATTGAATCAATTCATCAATTGTAATATAAACTTGGTAATGTTTAACTAATTTCTGACTAATAACATAGAGTATTAAGATGTGAAAAGGTTCTCACCATATTCACCCAGTCAGAAGAGCAATTTCATAGATGAAATTTTATGGGAAATCGGTCAAACTAAGTATTCGGAAGTGAAGTTCTAAAGTTTCAAGTCAGAAATATTTCTCTTTAACTGTCACCATACATGTATCGTGTATCTTAAACATACGTTTCATAAATTTATACACAGCTTGAAGATCCTGAACCACTCTCAAAACATTTTTTTACGTTGGTAGGGTAAAGGGAACATGAAGACATACTTCGTCACAGGTCGGAAACCAGAATTCGTCTTACAAGACACGACTGATGGGGTGAGTCGCAATTTTGCTGAAGTTCTCAAGGAAGACATGCTCAAAGACGATGATATACCATCGGAGAATTCGGATGACTCTGCGAAATTCTCCATCAATTTGTCCAACGCAAGTGGGACTACCGAGGAAGAGTCTGCTCCTGTATCTCCAAAGGATGATGGAGAACTAGAAATGAATGAGAATATATCTGAGAAAAAAGACAGAAAATCCAGTAGAGGTGGGAGTAGACGCTCAAGTAAAAGCGGTCAGAAACGCCGTCAATCTCAGCCACTCTCTAATACAACTTCACCAATGAACGAGAATCCTGATGTCGAGAACCAACAGAGCACCTCAGGTTTTGTGAACAACCAAAACACAACTGAGGTCCTAAATGAAGCTGCACGGCGTCTAGTCGAAACGAAAATAAAAGATGTAAAGAATGAACAGAAGAAGAAACAGGATATTACATTCAGTCTTGATAATCCCAAGGAAATCTTGAAAGAGGCTCCCAGCGAAGCGGATTTGCAAGCAGTAGACAACAATGTTGACGAAGCGACTTTGTTCAAGTCGAAACCAAAGGCACCTGAACGTTCTAGATTGATTAAACTCAATCCAGGTAACAAAGTCTCCAGTGTTTCTATTTCCAGCAAACCCATCCAACCTACTCCTGATGAAGTTGCTGTGAACAATGTGAGTACGGATGCTACTGAGAATGCACCAAATGATGATAACGATCAAGTTACACAAGAGATTGGCAATCAGGAAGACAGTAAGTGAATTTCCAGTTTCCAGGGAATTACGGTTATGTTATTACATTACATTACGATTTCAAGCAATGTGCATTTATATTTCGTCAGACATACACTGTTTTATCATTCACTTTTCTCTAAACCATAAAATACCAGGTTACAAATGCCGCTATAAGAAAACCATAATAATCAGTTAACTAGAACGAAACTCGGAATAATGTGATTTTGGTTATAAAGCCGACCATTCACTGGATCACCTTTAAAGTTCTTTATTAAAGAGACTGTTTAGCTTCATACACTGGAAACAACTGTTTGAAATTGCATGATCAGTGAACTCCTGAAACCACCCAAGCTAAGTAACTTTTCGCAACGCGTTTCGTCATTTCTCACTAATTTCTATTATTACTCAAAAGTTACTGTGATAATTTTCTCGATATACATGTTTACAGTTTTATAAATTCACATCTTAATTTCTTATTAATATGTTTCTTTTCATTTGAAGCCGTCCAACAATACCGTGAAATGGTGAAACAGGGCCGTTTTGATCCAGTACAAGATTTGCCATTCTGTTCACCTCAGGCAGCTATATTCAAAGATTTAGGTGAGTCACTCATTTCGTTTACATGTCTACTATATTAGTTATGTAAATATTCGTTGACCTAAATTATACGACATACTGTTTCCTTGTTTTCACATCCTATTCATCGAAAACAGAGATATTGTTTGCTGCACAAATTTATTATGAAGTTCTGAATCGCAATTTAGTAAATGCCCACACTCGCTAATACAATTCATTATCACATATGAAGGGTATCATATTTCTTTTGAAGGTTTCGATTTGCATATACACTCATTATTAGTGCTTCAGTGCCTCTCTTATCCATGATTTGTGAAAGTTTATCACAGCAATCTGATTGAAGATCTTTAGTCTTAGTTTGCATCTTATAAATTTTATCCAATGTTTAAGTAATTACTATCCCAATTAACAGTAAATATTGTCTGTACAACCATAAACAGGTTAAGGACTACTAGATTTCTCATAATCATCGTTCTGGTTGATCAGTGATAATCACTACAACTAAATTTTCCAGATCATGTACCCAGTTAACACTGACAAAATGACCGTTCGATGACTTGGTTACTTTCAATCCAGTTTTGAAATCTTCATTTTCTCCATTTTTCAGTAACGAATTTCGCCACTTTACTCCACAGATTTAAACATTCAGTCTAGTCATTTCCAGTGAAAATTTCACTGAACGTGAAATTGGCTTGTGGCATAGCTACTTAGTTGCAACAAAATTGGATAGATGGTTTGAGACGTGATCAATCACTGTTTCCTTCATATCTTTATGCAATCACGTGATATGTTCTATTGCAATCCCATAGAATCTCCTAGAAAGGTCATCTATTTCAGAATGCTTATAGATGTAACAGTAACAAACTGAATACATGATACATGCGAAGTCATGTCCTTCATGATTTCAATTAGGCAAAACACTTCACTTATACGTGACTGAGTATCGAAATCCAAGTGACTCTATTTATTAGTCTACTATGTTTTCCATTTCATTTCCAAGTGATAGTCATCGTGCTCGTTAAAGTCTGTAGATATTACAATGTCTGGTTACATCGCTCTCATTTATTGATAAACGTAGTCGGTCATATCCATGATTGCAGAATTTGTCAGTTAGTCGAAATAAAACTATATTCTGAATTATAAGTAAAGATGAATGGTGGCTAGCATCGGAATCCAGGACGCACGTTTCTTCCTATTTGGGACTTGTCAGTTGGATGCACCTGCACCACAGAGTTGATGTTCGCTCTGGGACTCGAACCTTGTACCGTTCGCTTCAAACTCCATCGCATTATCTACATAGTTAATGAGTCCTGATAGACACCATCCGTCTTTGCTTATAATGCTTGTGACTTAAGGCAATATTGAGGTAATCCACACAGGATGCATATATGCCAATAAGAAATTGACCAATTGCAGTCCTAAACATCAATAGGAAAATACAAACATATATTACAAAATGAATATTCTGAATTGATTTCATTATACTATTACATGATTAGTATTTCTCGTCACTACAATTTGAATGATTTACTGTTGAAAAGAATTCAATATGCAGAAGAGATCAGTAGTAATAGTAGTAGAAACAGTAATAATAATCACTTACTTAATTATGCCTGTTATTCCTAATGGAGCATAGGGCGCCGACCAGCATCCTCCAACCCACTCTGTCCTCGGCCTTCTTTTCTAGTTCCATCCTATTCCTGTTCATTTTTCTCATGTCTGTCTCCAGTTCCCGGCTTAATGTGTTCTTTGGTCTTCCTATTCTCCTCCTTTGGCCTTGAGGATTCTATGTGAGGGCTTGTCTTGTGACTCATTTGGGTGCTTTCCTCAATGTGTGTCCTATAGACTTTCAGCACTTCTTTTTGATTTCTTCCTTTGTTGGAATCTGTATTGTTCTCTCCCACAGTAAGTTGATGTTAACAATGTCTGGCCAACGGATCCGAAGTACTTTGCGTAGACAACTGTAATTAAACACTTGTATCTTCTGGATGATGGCTTTCGTAGTTCTCCAAGTTTCCGCCCCATACAGTAGAACTGTCTTGACATTTGTATTGAAAATTCTGACCTTCATGTTTGTTGATAGCTGTTTTGAGTTTCAGATGTTGTTCAGTTGTAAATATGCTGCTCTTGCTTTTCCGATCTGCGCTTTCACATCTGCATCAGACCCACCGTGTTCATCAATGATGCTGCACAAATATGTAAGGGTTTTTACATCTTCCAAATCTTCTCCGTCAAGTGTGGTTCAATTGTTGCGTGGTATGCTGTATCGGAGAATCTTGCTTTTCCCTTTGTGTATTTTGAGACCTACTGCTGCTGAGGCTGCTGCTACACTGGTCGTCTTCTCCTCCATTTGTTGCTGCGTGTGAGATAGAAGGGCCAGATCATCTGTGAAGTCTAAACCGTCCACCTGCATCCTAGATGTCTACTGTATCCTGTGTTTCCTTTCAGATGTTGACGTCTTCATGATCCAGTCGATCACCATGAGAAAGAGAAAGGGTGAGAGTAAGCAACCTTGCCTAACACCGGTCTTTACCTCGAACTAGTTTGTCAACTGTCCTCCATGGACGATTTTGCAGTGTAATCCATCATAAGACTTCCGTATGATATTGACTATCTTCTCAGGCACGCCCTAGTGTCGAAGAAGCTTCCATAGTATTGTCCTATCCGCGATATCAAGTGCTTTCTCGTAGTCAATGAAATTGATGTAGAGTGATGAATTTCATTCAATTGATTGTTCTAAAATGATCCGTAGAGTTGCGATTTGGTCTGTAAACGATCTATCCTTACGGAATCCTGCCTGTTGATCTCGAAGTTGGACGTCTACAGAGTCCTTCATCCTGTTTAACAACACCCTGTTGAAGACTTTTACTGGTATTGAGAGAATAGTGATGCCTCAGTAGTTATTACACTTGCTGAGATCGCCTTTCTTCGGTATTTTGATCAGAAGTCCTTCTTTCCAGTCTGTTGGTACTTGTTCCTCATCGCAAATCTTATTGAAGAGAATGTGGAGTATCCTTGCAGTTGCCGCTACGTCTGCTTTCAGTGCCTCTGCTGGGATTTTGTCCGGTCCTGCTGCTTTGCCACTCTTGATTTGTCTGATGGCCATGCTGATTTCTTCAATTGTTGGTGGGCCAACATTGATTGTGAGGTCCGTGGGTGCTGCTTCTATGTTGGGTGGGTTCAGTGAGGCTGGTCGGTTCAGGAGTTCTTTGAAGTATTCTACCCACCTGTTTTGTTGTTCTTCAATGTTGGTGATCACTTTGCCCTCCTTGCTACTCACTGGTCGTTCTGGTTTACGATAATTTCCAGCAAGTTTCTTTGTTGTGTCATACAGTTGTCTCATGTTCCCTTCACTTGCAGCCTTTTCCACCGTCAATGCTAAATCCTCCAAATGTTTACGTTTGTCGATTCTGATGCTCCACTTCACGCGCTTGTTTGCTTCTGTGTATTCAGCTTGTTCCTTGGCTTTCTCTGCTCTTGTTCGGCTGGTATTGATTGCTGCCTCCTTGTTCTTCCTTTCTTGAATCTTATCCAATGTACCAAAAGTGATCCATTCCTTGTGATGATGCTTCTTGTGGCCCAAAACCTGATGACATGTTGAAGTGATTGCCTCTTTGATCCCCTTCCAGTTGCTCTCCATAGTAGTTCCTTCTCCATTGAGTAGATCATTAAAGGCCTGGAACTTATTGCTGAGGACTATCTTGAATTTGTTGGGTTTGTCAGTATCCCGAATAAATGCCATATTAAACTTTTATGATATTGCCGCCCCATTGTGCAGTGCTTCTTGAGTTTCAATTTCATCTTGGCGACCACTAAGTGATAGTCTGATGCTATATCAGCTCCTCTCCTGGTTCTCACATCCTCCATCGTTCTCCTGAACTTTTTGTTGATGCAGATATGGTCGATTTGGTTTTGCGTGGTGTGATCCGGTGAAGTCCATGTGATTTTGTGAATGCATTTATGTGGGAATATAGTACAGCCTGAGACCAGTTTATTAAAGGCACATAGGTTTGCAAATCTCTCACCATTTTCGTTCCTTTCTCCCAGTCCGTGCCGTCAAATGATGTCTTCATATCCGGTGTTGTCCATTCCAACCTTAGCATTTAAATCTCCCATCAGAATGGTCAGGTCTTTTGTTGGGCACTTCCCGACGATTGACTGCAGCCTATTGTAGAGTTGATCTTTAACGTCCTCATTGTAGTCGTTGGTAGGCGCATGGCATTGGATGACGTTCATTGAAATGCCATATTTCTTTATTTTGGAGGAGGCTTTGATGATCCTTAGTCCATGAGATTCCCATCCTATAAGTGCATTTTGCGCTTGTTTGGACAGCATCAATGCGACTCCTTGTGCATGTGGGGCATTTTCTTCTTCACAACCGGAGTATAACAGAAGCTCCCCTGAAGCTAGTCGTTGTTGTCCAACTTGCGTCCAATGTGTTTCACTGATGCCAAGCAACTTCATGTTGTATCTTTTCATTTCTGCAGCAATTTGAAAGACTCGCCCGGTCTCTCACATTGTACGAGTATTCCATGCACCTAAATAAATGGTTGCTCTGGTTTTCAGAAGGGGCATCGGCCTCGTGACTTCCGAAGGAACTCGGCTTTCATCATGAGGCGTCATAACTCTTCTAAATGAAGACCTTCTGACTTTCAGGGCAGAGTTTAAAAGGTTTGAATAATTTTTTCTGGTTAGCGTTTTTTTTAGTGAGTTAGTTTTCTATGGGATGGGGTCGCTAGCCCCAAGTAACAATAATAGTGTTATGATTATGATTATGAGTAGTAGTAGTAGTAGTAGTAGTAGTAGTAGTAGTAGTAGTAGTAGTAGTAGTAGTGGTAGTATTAGTATCAGTATTAGTAGTAGTATTAGTATTAGTAGTAGTAGTAGTAGTCTTCATTTTGTAAGTAAACAATCCGAAGTAGGTTGAATGAAATCTGTTTCTAATCTTCAGCTTCAAATTTTATGAGGAGAATCGATGAAAACTTTACAGAGTTTTGGGAAGAAAAACTGCGAAAATTGAAAGATTTAGGGTGTTAACTCCAACGTTATACCAATGACAGTGCACTTTCTAATGTAAGTTGGTTCAGAGTAAACGAATTTGGAATTTTTGTGTATATTGACCTCACATGGTCGATTTTTTAAGTTACTAAAGTTCATTTCCAGTGTTACTACTGTAAGATATTTCTGCCAGATCTAGTGATAACTAATCAGTTACCCTGAAAACCGATCGTGTTGGGAGACTAAAGTGCGATACAACTGAAGATATGAAGTAGTGGTCAGTTTCGCGAGACATTTTCATATGAATGTCAGCTAATGGACATAAATAAGCAGCCACTTACAATTCAGTATGTTCTCTTTCCTTCATCGGTTCTTAAAACAACATCAGTTCGATGAATAGTGCCACTCACTGTAGTGATAATTGAATTTCATAGAACGTATTAAAAGGAACTAATGTTTGTCCCCTTATTTTGCACGGTTATTTAACTCCTCGAGACTAACGGTTGCTCATATTTGAAACTTGGTCATTTACTTTGGGGGACTCATTCATTTGTATATTTGATGCATATCGTATGAAACTTATCAATATCCCATTTGCTCAGAAAAAAATTGTACTTTATTTGTTGGTTACTGAGTAAATGGATTTACAATGTATCACATCTCTAGGAAGTCGCCCGATGACCATATTTACATCTTGGAAGACGTGTATCCCTGACTAGAGACGTTGCTTAGTTCAGGGAATGAAACTACTTGATATTCAGTTAAGTACATATTCATACTATGTTAACGAAAACGCACTAGTGATCGCTTTATCTGAGTTGTCCGTTAAATATCAACATGATAGAACATGAGGCGAAGGTTGTACGTTGTTAAATGAACAGTGTGAAATATAGAAGACTTCATCAGACTTAGTCAGTACTAGGTTTTCCTTACTGATTCTCTTATACCACAAAATACCATTGATGTGTACTTTATTTGAAGAATTAATTAATCCGAACAATCTAAACTACATCCTAGTCCACAACACTCTTCAACTCTCGAAATCTTAGCAGGAAGTGTGAATGAAGCTCTACTTCGACGTTGGGTTAGTATGGAGGAAACTAGGGTATTTTTAGGTGTGACATTACGGTTCTGGAAGTTTCCGGAAACGTTAGTAACAAAATCAGTAAGCATCCAATCAGAATGATGACACAACGCTTTTTTTAATACTCTCTAATAGCTCCAGGGAATACTGAATAAACGAAATATAGTCAGCATCCTCCAACTTCTGAAGACTCTTCTAGGAATAATCCAGTGTTCCCAGTAAAAAAAAGTGTCATTCACACATCTGCAGTGATTATTCATTTCAACTATGTTATATATTAATGTTTCACTATCTTGTAGCCTGATATTAGAATGTCCTTGTAGATCATTATTTGAAACAAAGTGATTCGTTAAAATGATTTCGAACCACTATACAGGAGAACAACTGTCATTTCTTTCTCACAATAAATTAGAAAATATGAAAGAGGTACAGGAAACTAGGGGGCCTATAGGTGTGACGTTGAGACTGCCGAAACCTACGAAAACATGCTAAAATCAATCACATCAGCAAGTATCCAATCAGAATATAACGGATAATTCAACAATTCCCAGAATTATCTTCTAGGAAGCAGTGATTGGAAGAAGCGTATTCAAGATTGTTCCAGCATCCAAACTAGAGGTGTCATTCATACATCTTCAGTAGCTAACTATTTCACCCACCCAAGTAACAGTACGACAGACACGCGAGAATGAAAGAAGTTTAATTATCTGAGTCAAGGTTCAAATTGATTCATTTGATTATTGATCAACTAAATTTAACTAAATTACTCATTCTTCATATTTTCTCATCGTTTTTAGCTCAACCATTGTGTCTAGCACTAACCGAATTACTTATCATTAGACCAAAGAATCCTATTATGTATCTGGCTATCTGGTTAAGAAACTATTCAATGAACAGTTCAAAATTTGACTGGGTTATACATTCCGGATGAAATAATATACACTTTGCAATCTTTAAACGTCTTATTTATTCACTGATGTGTGCTTAATTTGCTACATGTTATATCCGTAGAATTTTTTAAACCAGTAGAGAATAAACACTGTAAATTAAACAAATTATTTTGTTTTCTATCAAACTATTCACTGTCGATATTTTACACCTAATTATTACTAAAGATTAAGGTTACATCACTGAAAAAGTACACAAGTTATTTTAGAGAAACAATTGACTAGTTTTAGTAGATGGTTGATAACAAAATGTTTAGTAAGTTTCTAAATTCATTTACTTATTATGTATCTGTAGAGTTTATCTGTATCTGTATCTGACTCCATTAAGTAGTATACCGTTAACTGAGTATTTACGCAGACTAAATCTCCTAGAAGTGTCATAAATTTACTCAAGATTATTCAAGAGCCTGAACACCAGTTGTAGAGAGTGTTTATTGTTGATGATTAGTAAAATCCACAAGCGCGCAGAAAACAAGCACACAGGCGAAGCAGTGGGAGTGTGTGTGAGTGTATAAAAATCCATATATATTTATGAGCGTTAATCGGTTTTGGGTGTTGTTAATTTTCTGTGTTTACAACCTGAGCTCCCAAGTTTGGGGAGATTTGGGGGAAACTCCCGAAGTCAAATGACCTTGACCAAGGTTAAAGGGGAATTTCCCCAGGTCTGGGGAAATTTTGGGGTTTTTGTGCCATTTCCCCAAAATGGGTCAAATTTTCCCCAAAATTGGGAGCTCGGGAACCAATGGGAGAGTTGATAAAGATTGATGTGCAGGCATGCGCCCAGTCAAACTCACACGTAATTTTACATAGTGGATTAAATGTCTAAATTACGAGCAGACAAATTGCAGTGAATGCAATAAGACAATTTAAATGATTAAAATGATTTTCTTACAATGATTAAAGGTGATTGTAGTGGCTTTGCTTCGTTAATCGATCACCTCGATAACCGTTATAATATAAATCTCAATGGTGTTTAAAATCAGAAGGTAATGAGAAGTGACTACTACATTTTATTAGCGGATAGCGCAGATCACAAAGCTATAAGCACGTCTAGAGAATTTGAAGCGGAGAGGCGAATAAATATATGTGAGCAATTACATGGGCAAATTTATAGTCAAATTGCATAAGGACGCAGCAAGGTAAAGCAAAGACTAATAATACGATTTAAGTACATACATACATGGGGTAAACATTTACTGCACGGCCATTTTTGTATTTTTTTTTGAGGGAAATTTTTTTTCATCCCTTTTGAAAAAATTTTTCAGCCCCATCTCCCAATAATTTTCATTCTGTTTCGTCCAATCAAATAACTAGTTTTGAGTTCGTTATAATTGGTCGTTTATTTCTTCAAATCGATATAAAATATGAGGACTTGACGAGAGAGCACATTTTCTTACCACTATGGACGGTAGTAACATGCAAAGTACGAGCTGTGTCGTCCCTCACGTTGTCACAGAAACCGATAACCTATTCTTGAGCACATTGTATCTCGTAGCGTTCCAGTCTCTTGAAGAGTTGAAGAGCGCCATTAGAACTTATGGAAGAGCCACGTACAGCCATTATGTGGTGAGGGATTCTCATTTACATAGAGATCGGAAGCCGTATATTAGATTCGTATGTTGGAGAAATGGTCGTAGAACATCTAGCGGTTCTTCACAGCCGAGTAGACGAACGAGGTAATTTAATTAGTGTTATTATAATTTTTCATTAAGGACTACCGTGAACACTCAATGTCCTTCCTTCGTATTTTGTAAGTTACCAACTGTCAAAATAACGTCAATATGGATGCAACGTTAAGCAATGACGAGGAAGAAATTGTCTCGATTAGCTCAGAGTTCACTGGATGAGACGACAGCAATGACGAAGACGCGTATGACAACAGAGTTTATGATATTTGCAATCTTGCGCAACCGCCACATGAAACTGCTGATGGAAGTACCTGGGTTTTTTGTCCATGCGAAGCAATGCTTCATTTATTTTGTGCCTACGACCCATCAACACACGTCCATGGAATCCACTGTCCCATGTACGGAGCTATAATGGAATAATAGCAACGCCTTTGTTCATGAAACTCGGAACTGTTAAGAGAACGAGTAAAGGCCCTTTTCAGGGCCACCCACAATTTGATTTAAATTCTTTTGTTTCGATTCCTTATTTCCATAGCAAAGGTCAAGTGATCAAACCATCAAAATCCATTTAAGATTAATAGTCATTACGTGATTAGCACCTACGTATTCGTAAACGCTTTTTAAGCATTGTCAAATATACGGTTTAAGTAAACGATTTCGCATAGGAAAAGTCATCTAATGAACACTAATCTGTCTAACAATAGTACATGCAAAACTTATTCAGAATGTTTCAATGTTTTGTCATATAGTTACGATAGGCGAATGTAGTACTACCAGTTCACTAGTACAACGACATCATTTCTATAGAAAAGGTCAACTGAACCAACATCGATGAATTCTAACTAAGCCTTAGTGATTAAGCAATATAATCAATTGAGATTTATAGAAATTTCGTGGATTAGATCATTAAAGGAGAATTTTGGAAAAAACTGATGACTGGTTTTAATAGTTGATGATAGTAATAACTGACTTTGAAAGGTGGTCAAATGTTTAATACACAATTAGTAAAGAAATTATTCATCGAAGTATTTCCATTAGTTTTTTCTGAACACATCGTATGTTATTTTAATAAACGTTATATGCGTAGCAACATATCCATAAATCATCATGATAGAATAATGAATAGGGCATGCATAAATCACGCTAACCGTTAACGATCGGTAAATGAAGCAAAATAGTAATAACTTCTCTCAGAAAATAGCAAATAATATTTATGATTGGGCACTTTTCAAAACAGTAATTCTTAGTAGAAAAGAACTGTTTAGTTTTATCTGAATAATGGTGTCATAAATAAATGCAAGATTGTCAATTGTGTTATTTTGCTAATCCATTAAAAGCGTTACTTGTTTTTACCTGTACATTCTTTGTAGTTGAGCTGTTTAAAATTATAACAAAAAATACTTGTCTATGTAAGTAGTCATGTGAATCGATTATTGTGCTCGTCAATTGGGCTTAACAAATTTTGCACGTAATGTCAACAGCATATTTGCAGTTTAAAAAAATCTCCATAAAACATTCTATGTTGTTGAATAACAAGTTTTGACAAGCATTCGAAACTCTTATTACATTTTGCATGTAACATTGTTACAGATAATTGCCACATTAAATGATATAGACATTTTATAAAACGTATAAATGTATTACCATCACGTGAAAGGTAGTCACATTTTTTATTTGAATAGTTGAGATCATGAGTGAATTGAAGCTGGAGCACCATGTTTCAATATAGTTAAATTGATCATTTTGACGTTTGGTAAATAAATGGTAGGCTTTTATTTATTACATTGACATTACACGTACGTATACCCAAATGTCACTTGATACAACTGACTTTGTTCGTATTAAGCTGTATAATTGAGATAGACATTTATTTTGTCAGACGTAGGCTTGTACTTTTACACTTAATGTAACCAATATTTCAAATACCTGTCAAAACTTGTTATTCAACAACATAGAATATTTTATGGAGATTTTTTTAAACTGCAAATATGCTGTTGACATTACGTGCAAAATTTGTTAAGCCCAATTGACGAGCACAATAATCGATTCACATGACTACTTACATAGACAAGTATTTTTTGTTATAATTTTAAACAGCTCAACTACAAAGAATGTACAGGTAAAAACAAGTAACGCTTTTAATGGATTAGCAAAATAACACAATTGACAATCTTGCATTTATTTATGACACCATTATTCAGATAAAACTAAACAGTTCTTTTCTACTAAGAATTACTGTTTTGAAAAGTGCCCAATCATAAATATTATTTGCTATTTTCTGAGAGAAGTTATTACTATTTCGCTTCATTTACCGATCGTTAACGGTTAGCGTGATTTATGCATGCCCTATTCATTATTCTATCATGATGATTTATGGATATGTTGCTACGCATATAACGTTTATTAAAATAACATACGATGTGTTAAGAAGAAACTAGTGGAAATACTTCGATGAATAATTTCTTTACTAATTGTGTATTAAACATTTGACCACCTTTCAAAGTCAGTTATTACTATCATCAACTATTAAAACCAGTTATAAGTTTTTTCCAAAATTCTCCTTTAATGATCTAATCCACGAAATTTCTATAAATCTCAATTGATTATATTGCTTAATCACTAAGGCTTAGTTAGAATTCATCGATGTTGGTTCAGTTGACCTTTTCTATAGAAATGATGTCGTTGTACTAGTGAACTGGTAGTACTACATTCGCCTATCGTAACTATATGACAAAACATTGAAACATTCTGAATAAGTTTTGCATGTACTATTGTTAGACAGATTAGTGTTCATTAGATGACTTTTCCTATGCGAAATCGTTTACTTGAACCGTATATTTGACAATGCTTAAAAAGCGTTTACGAATACGTAGGTGCTAATCACGTAATGACTATTAATCTTAAATGGATTTTGATGGTTTGATCACTTGACCTTTGCTATGGAAATAAGGAATCGAAACAAAAGAATTTAAATCAAATTGTTGGTGGCCCTGAAAAGAGCCTTTACTCGTTCTCTTAACAGTTCCGAGTTTCATGAACAAAGGCGTTGCTATTATTCCATTATAGCTCCGTACATGGGACAGTGGATTCCATGGACGTGTGTTGATGGGTCGTAGGCACAAAATAAATGAAGCATTGCTTCGCATGGACAAAAAACCCAGGTACTTCCATCAGCAGTTTCATGTGGCGGTTGCGCAAGATTGCAAATATCATAAACTCTGTTGTCATACGCGTCTTCGTCATTGTTGTCGTCTCGTCCAGTGAACTCTGAGCTAATCGAGACAATTTCTTCCTCGTCATTGCTTAACGTTGCATCCATATTGACGTTATTTTGACAGTTGGTAACTTACAAAATA